AAGTGATCGTATGTTGAGCAACAAAAATCGAATGATGAACAATTTGATCAGTGAGGTAATCAGGAAATCTTATTCATATGATTGTTGAAAGCGGTTTTTTAGAAAAATTCAGCAATTGAGTGATAAATTAATCAGTTTTAAGTTCTGAATAGTTCCGGTTATATTCGATGAAACGCGCGCGTTGCTGATAAATTCAGTCGTTTTGTTCAGTTTTCAGTGGTTATTAGCGTGAGGTGAGCAGCCCTTGTGGTGATCAGAAGTAATCGAGATCAGAAGAGTTTCTATTTGAACGATGCTATTTTAATTCTCCGTAATGTTTTACAGTTGGAAATAGCTTAAATGATGTCAAATTACTAGTTGTTGTCATGTTGAGATTGCTTCATATACGATTGATCAGCATTTGATCCATCAAAATTTGCAATCAAGGTCAAAATACCGGTATTAAAACAGTTGATCGTAGATCAACTAAACTAAACAACATGATTCATTACCTCATCTTGTATTTTCTCGGAAATGACACTGTAAATATAGTATTTATTGTAATCTTCAGTACAAAATTAATAGTTTAGTGAATCCCTTAATATGAAAATGTGTTTCCAGATATTATTTACTACTTATTTCTTGTTATGATGTCCTTCATTCTTGTAAGTGCTGATTGAGTAAACGACTAAATAAAGATTCTTTAAACATTGGTAACTGTCGTTCTCTTCCACTCCTTATTTAGTTACTTTTCACAATCGTTCAAAGCAAAATTCCAACACCGATTTTCACGCTGATCTTCGGTGGTTGATTAGCTTGTGAACGCAAAATCCTAGTCATTTATTGGAGCAATCGAATAGTTTCAGTTCCTTCATACGAATGGTTTACTCATGCACCAATCGCATGACTTCTGCTTTTGTTTCACTTATTTGAACTTTTCGAGTTTTTCGTTCCTTTCGATGCAAAATCTTCTTCTTATGTGGAAAATTTCAGTGAATAGAGGTGTTCTAATGTGATAAAAAAGTTTTGGTTACAACACTGCGATTCGATTGATTGGTTTTTGTTGTTGAATTTGTCATCGACTAATCTGATTTATTAGCGAATCACAAATCAGTGCATACGTTTATCCAGAATAGCGTGTTCATGTATTTGAATGAACGTTGACAAATGTTCATCTCCATAATGACAGTCATGAATTCAGCCTTCATGCGTCATTCATTTGAAATTTGAATTTATGCTTCATACTTTTATGATCTCCTCATGTGTGTGCTGCATCCAGCTACTTGGGCAGTTCTCGCTCTAACGCAGTCAGAATTTCTCATTCATGCTGTTTCATGCGTGGAGTTACCTATTGAATTACGTTTTGGAAACAGTCCTAGATGAACTGCGCATTGAAAACTTGATATTCTTATTAGCGAAGTAGAGTTTCAAAAATGCAGAAATAGATTCCAATGTATTCCAATAGAAACAATTTTGAGTAATAAATGTATTTATTCATCAGTTGAATGAGAGCTGCACAAATGGATAGAAATTGTTCGTGCGGAAGTGCGTTATCAATTGATCAGTTCATCATATCGTTCGCTGAAACGGTCATGGCAATTCGTTGATGATAATAACATATTAGGAACATCAACGGCGTTTTTTTATGAACGATGTTTACGAATGATTTTTGGTGCTATAATGCTGTGATGCGTATATGGTGTTACAATCACTCTTGAAATTCAGTTCTTGTTCTGTGCTACTTGAAATGATAATAGCGAGACTTTCATTGAGTGGTTATTGCACGTCACGAAGTTATTATGTTCATATTGCATTCTCATTCGCTTTGCGGCAACAACTTTTTGGATTTTCGATTCTTACGTGAAACTGTTCGGTTGAAACGTGTGCCCCTCGGCTGCTCTTTAGACTGTTTGACGAAAAAGCATATGCCAGATCCAGTGATGATGATCATAATATCATGGCTGTTACTAACAGTTATGTACTAAATTCATTGTTATTTGAATGCTGTCATTCAGTCATATCATCCCTATTGTGGTAGTAATGTTTGATACGAATCTAATGATCTCAGTGTGCGCTTTTAATCACGAGAATGACTCGTCATCGCTAAAATTGATCACTTGTAACTTCGATCGAAATTTGAAACTGCAACATTACTGGTTTTTCGAAGTTTCATTTCTTTTTTTTTTCAAACCACCCTTCAGATATTTATTAGAAAGCGTTCAGTTATTGGAACTTCTGCCTTTCACATCAACACCATCTTTCGATCGTCGCATTTTTCATCGTCAAATTGATTGTCATTCAAGGAAGTGTCCTCAGAATGATTCAGTAGTGACGATCGCGATGGCTATTGTTAACATGATGTTGTATTTATGATTTAATAGCAGTACTGATGATAATATGACGATAATAAGGCGACGATATCATTAGTGTTAATAGTGTTGCAATTGAAAACTCTGCGAACAGCAGTATTGCTAGGAGATTGATGATCGACATGGAAAGTCAGAAGAGTATATCTAATCATAGAATGTTGATCAAAATTTCAGACACTCGACGATTTCTCGTAATTTCTGCATCAGTTTTTGGTGTATTCCTGTTGAATAATCCGACGAAGAATCTCCGTTTTATTCGCATTTAAACGGAATTCATTCGAATGTGTGATTCTGAAAGTGTTTTCTATCAACAAACAGAGACAGTCGAAAGGTGAAGGAAGAGTTGCAACCGAATTCGTCAGTTTTTCAACTATTCATCACATTCGTTTCGAGTGATTGGGCTTTATGTGAAACAAACAGTTGATTTCAAACATCAAAAGAAACAATGGGGAATTGTCGTTCGGTTATGAGCCATCCTCAGTTGATCAGCGACGAGGAAGTTGATCAGTTGGCCAAGAGTACGGGATGTGAGTTGAATGAAATTATTTCGACCATTTCACGACAGGTAGTATTGCCCAAATTCAATAACCTGTTGCAAAAAAGGCTATCATCATCAACGATCGACTGTGTGAATCACCGCATTGTTTTCTCCGGATCTAGCGAAATTTAGTGTGTACCTCTTCAGCCTTCCAGTATGCTTTCGTTAAATTTGCTCCACATAAACCAATGCGTTTATATGAGAGCATCGCAGCTATGTCATTGAATTAAGAATTCTTTTTGCGTTTGTCGTATTCACTGCTTACCGTTGAGATATTTCAGTTACACATAAGCAAATTCTCCGTTTACATTTACGTTTCATGGCGTTGGATAAAGGAGGTGCGTAATTGCTGGTATTATTCATTTGACAAATCTTTATACTTCTCAGAAAATCATTTGTGATTTCTAGTGCAATTTTTTACATTGGTATTTTCTTGCTAACAGTTTTGTAATGCTGAATTATTATCAATATGTTCGAAGCATTTTAGTGCTTGTTCATTGAAGATTTTCTCAGCGCTTCTTGTTTTGTTGATGTGACCATCGATTGTTTAGGAAAAGGCGTTCTGGATCGCGATGATTTCTTCAATATTCCTGATCTGGAGATGAATCCGTTGGGCGATCGCATCATTGATGCATTCTTCGCAGAAGCGTAAGACAACTTTTTCTCGTGTTTATTGCTAAATTTTCGAGACTTTCACAAGCCCAGGCACACACCTTCATTCTGATTTCTTTATTGGTTGATGGAATTCTCATCTGCAAACGATGAACGATTGCTGCTTCAGGAGTGATCCAGAGAAGCGATTAACATTTCCTGAGTTCGTCGCCGTTCTGGCTCATTTTCGACCATGCAGCGAGCATGCGTACACACACGAGCATTCTGCAAACGATCATCATACTCATGACGCTTTAACGAATAACTCTCGTGAAGAGAAACTCAAATGTACTCATTCAGCTATAATGTCAACCTCGCATTTCTTTCGTAGAATATAAACACTTTAAGAAACATATGAATGCCGTGTGAATCTGCAAATTAAGTTTCTTCTTTTGATTGAACTGAACACGGTGACATTTCCACAAGACTGTGGTGAATTGCGAGAGTTAAGTTGCGAAGACAAAAAAAAGTGGACGAATTTGCGCCACATGATTCAGGAATTTTTTTTCTCCCTACGTTACAGCACAACTGGCTTTCAACTGATTGATTGAAAGGTCCTTTTTCAGTTGCTTTCTCGATGTACGACCTGAATAAGAATGGCTTCATAACAAAATGTGAATTCA